AAAATCCCAGCAAGGTGTTTTGAGAAAGATTAAAACTTATATGAAAATGCAAAGGGTCAAGACAATCATGAAAATGAAGAAAAAAAGTTGAAATTTTGAATTATTAGATATCAAGATTTACTTTATAGTTATGGCAATTAAGGCAGTGTGGTATTGGAACAATAATAAGTATTTAGAGCAATGAAACAGAGTATAGAAACAGTCACAAATACATTCAACTTACAACAAAAGTGCTATTGCATTATATTAGAGAAAATATTTTTTAGAAAAAGGTGCTGAAAAATGTAATTTATAAAATAATGCAACAATCACATAACCTCACAACATACATTAAAATATGTAAAGTAAAACAATAGAGCTAATACCTAATATAGAAGAATATTATCATGACTTTAGGGCTAGGCAAAGGGCTTCTTACATAGTACATAAGACAGTGAAGGAAAAAGCAATACATTCATCAAAATCACCAACTTTTATTTGTCAAAAGACATTAGTAACAGCACACAAACAAGTCATGGAGCTGAAACCTATGTGACTACATTTGACAAAAGACTCATTTTCTTGATGTATATGCATTCTACAAATCAATAAGAAAGACAAATTTAAGTAGGCATGAAATCTGAATAGACACCTCTCCAAAAATCCATATCTAAAGTATTTGTCAGGGAAAGGCAAAATGAAAAACCCTGTGAGATAACACTATATATAAGCAAGTGTTGGTAATAATGTGAAGTATCTGGAAATCCCACACACTGCTTTAAACCTTATTTGTGAAAAAATGTCTGGCAACACCTGGTAAAGCTGAACTTACATATATCCTATGACTCACCAATTTCATTCCAATAGAAATGAATACATATTTGTAGCAACAGTCAAGAATATTCATGGCATCATGATTCAAATGGCCTAATATAGAAATGGCTCAAATGTCCACCAAAATTAGAATTGAGAAATAAAGTGTGGTTTACGCATACATCAGAATACAATATAGCATGAGAAAATAAATTTATAGACATAACAACAAGGAAAAAATTCATGAATAATGTTCAACAAAAAAACTCAGGCCCTAAAGTTTTACCTTACATGGTGGTAGTGGTAATGACTGATTGGATGGATGCTGGTAATGTCATATTTTGATCTTGATGGTGGTCACACATGATCACTTAAAAAATCTATACAGCTATCCACTTAAGAAGTGTGCATTTTAGAATATAAATGTGTGTTATGTTTCAACAAAAAAGTAAAAATTGGAAAATATAGTTCTGGGTTTTACCAGGGAAGCATTTTTGGAAGATTATTTTACAGTTTAAGGCAGAATTGTGAAAAAGATAAAAAGTTCTAGTTCTTACAGAAAAAGATCCTTTTGTATACACTGTATTTTTTGGCTACTTAAGAGACCATTTTGAAAAATCATGTTATTTATAATTTAGTAAATCATTAATCACATAAATAAGTCTGCTTTAGTTCTAGAGTGGCAAAATGAATCAAATCCTGTATTTAAGGCAGACAGAGAGACATCTCAAGGGGGAATAGTAACTACTAAATTGTGGCTTCACTAATTAATGCATTTCCCAAAATACATCCTGTATAACTAAGGGAAAAATTATTCACCCTGAATTTGTCTTTAAGTCTCACTAGTGTAATTGAATTGTAACTAAAGGTCCACTAGTATTTTTTTAAAAATCATTCTTAAAACACTTTCTGGAAATAAATCTATATGAAAATAGCAGCCAAGTATCTTTAGTGTTATGATTACAATCATTTTAAGTGTTACCGACGTCCATCCAAAAATAATTTACCGAGCTATCTTAAAATTAAATTACAAAGGGAGAAATCAATGTCTTAAATTTAGAATCCAAAAGAAAATTATGAGCTATAAATTAAGAACAAAAATCTTTTAAAATCCTCATTCTATATGGCTATCACAAAGTTCCAACTGTGAAATGCGGCATTAAAAGAACTTCAGCCCCCAAATTACTTAGAATAACTTTTGATGTTTGTTTTAACAGATGCTTCTATTTACCCAGAGAAATGTTCAAAATCAAATTTCCTTTAAAAAACAATGACTTAAAATAGAAGGAAAGGTTTCTATTGCTTTCAAAATTGAGGGCAAAAGGTGTTAAAAGTTTTGTGAAACTTATTGCCTCTAAAATTACTCCATTCTTGGTCAAATTGTAGATACAGCTTATAATCAGAGTGAATTTAATAGGATTCAGAATGACTTAATTTGGAAGTGCACAGTTACTTACTTATTGAAGTTCCCACAATTTTAAATAATGATATTAACTGAAAAAGTAGATTTAAATATGCTAACTTTGATGAAGGGATAGTGTCCTGTTATATTTTACTTTAAAACGAGTTCCTAATTAATTTCGTTCAGCTTTTAAATCACAGGTTATCTATAATTTCCATGTTATCTCCTAAGGAACACTAAAAAACTACATATTTTAGTGATGTTTAACCTGGTATCAAGGAACAAGCAATCCCTCATGAAACTATAAGTGGAAGCAGTAAATAGAAATGATGTTTTAGCTCAATATAGGTGATTCCCTTATGGATAATAAATAAGAGACAGAAATAATGTTCCTTGAAAGCTAATTGGTGGAAACTACAAAATCCAGTGGAGTCAACTAAAGATGTTTTAACTACTATATAAAAATTTCTTTATGGTATAACATGAAATTTAAAAATATGACCAATAAGATACTAGTGTTATGACCTCATTATTTTATTTCAGATGTCAATTTTAGAAACAAATTATATGAAAGATATGCTTTTAATATATGCCCCTTTGATTTCCAAAGATAAAGGGATATACTTCAAAATCATTATTTACTTAGTAATATGGTCCTTTCTAAAGTATGTAAACAGAGTATGTATAAGTATGTATGGGTACATGTATAAGGTGGGAGGGAATGAGAGGCAATGAAGAACTGGACTCTTTTTCTACAATAGATTTTTCCCCATTTGGGAAGAACTCTTAATTAAGCTGAAGCATCGAGCTTCAACTTCTCCTGTGTATATCTTGCTAGCGTTTTTTTTTTTTTTTTTTTTTTTTTTGTTTTTTTTTGTTTGTTTGTTTTTGTGTGTGTGTGTGTGTGTGTGTGTGTGTGTGTGTGTTTAATACTTCCTACTTCTAGCCCTAACCAGTTTGGCTCAGTGGATAGAGCATTGGCCTGAGGACTGAAGGGTTCCAGATTCGATTCCAGTCAAGGGCATGCACCTTGGTTGCGGGCACATCCCCAGTAGGGAGTGTGCAGGAGGCAGCTGATGGATGTTTCTCTCTCATCGACGTTTCTAACTCTCTATCCCTCTCCCTTCCTCTCTGTAAAAAAATCAATAAAATGTATTTTTAAAAAAATACTTCCTACTTCTTGTTGCTTAAATGTGATCAATGTCAATAACTTAATAGCAGGGATATTTGACCAATGATATCAATTTTTTTATAGAAGTGTGTTGTTTGCTTGTTATCATAAATCCAAAAGTCTTCACTGATTATGTCCCACACAGAATTTCTCTAAATTGACATGACAAATTTTCTGCCTCTCTTTAATGGCATTAGTTCATTTATTTTAAATGATAATTATTTATTTACTTGTCTTATTTAATATCACACACTGGAAACTTTTAGAGGATAATATCTATATTAGAAAAAAAATGTATTTCCCTGGCTAGTTTTGCTCAGTGGATAGAGTGTTGGCCTGTGGACTGAAGGGTCGTCCCGGGTTCCATTACAGTCAAGGGCATATGTACAGGTTTCAGGCTCAATCCCCAGTTAGGGGGCATGCAGGAGGCAGCTGATCAATGATTCTCTCATCATTGATGTTTCTTTTTTTTTTTTTGGAGGGACTGGTTCTTTATTTTAAAAAGATACTTGTTCAATTTTCAGTATCAAAACAGTTTCTCTTTCTCCCAATTGGCCCCCAAAGGGACCACACCAAAGGAGAGTACATTTTAAGCCAATAAGCTGCAGGATGTGCACCTAACAGACCTCACAGAAACCTCACTAAAAATGGGGCATTAGGTAGGGAAAGAAACTTAAAGATCAGCACACTGCCAACCCAGACTGTAGCGAGCTCTCACAGCCAGACGGGATGGCCAGTGTGCCCCAACCCCAAAGAAGCAAAGTTTCAAAATAATACAAAATTTAAAAAGTTTTGTACATAAACTATTCAAGATTACTCCAGCACTAACTGGTACAAAGCACAATGAGATGGCACTTTTAGAGACAGCAGCTTCAGACCCCGAGGAGGGTAATGAGACGAGTTTCATTTGGCTAAATCACTGGCAAAAACATAATTTTCTTTCTTTCAAGGAGGCAGGAGAGCAAATAACTGGTCACTTCAACCTAAGGGGCACGTGATCCATTTTGTGAACCATTGGGCTTGAAAGGGAAGAGATGGGACTAGAATTTGGTCTCTGACAGAGAGGTCTCACCATTTTAATTTGGTCACTTCTGATGAAAAAAATAAATTGCCCAAAGATGCCTTAAAAGCTGAAACCTAAACATCACTTTTTTTTTTTTTTTTTTTTGCTAACTCCTCCTGGAATCACCTTTTCGATTTGGCTGGTACTCTGCACAAAGCAATGATTCCCCATAGTGGAGTTGTTCTCTGGGCTCTATGTGGCTCTCAGTAAGGCAGGCCTATACCTCTTTCCCTCCTCTATGGAGAGGGCAATATGGATTAAGCTGAAAAAATTACCTCCTAAAAGTGAGAAGGGATTAGCCTGCTGCTTGAGAACTGTGGAATTATTTCGAATGTTTTACAAATGGTTGCCACATCAACAACAAAAAAGGTAATTACAAAATGTGTACATCACAACATGCTTTTAAAGACACTGCATTGTGCTCACATTCCCTTAAATGTTGTTCCCAAAGGTGCTCAGCCTCTAGCCCAATCAAAATCTCTGAGGGGAGGCAGAGATAATTTGGCGAAAAAGATGCGGGGGGAGGGGTGGGAGGGGGGTGGGAGGCAGTGAAAGGAGAACGCAGCCTTCCAGTTAAAGATCAGCCCTCAGTTTAAAGGTCAGCTTCAAGCAGGCTGGCCTCAGGCGGAGTCAGGGTCAGAGGGAGGAGCAGCGGCGGGGCGGGACTGGGTGGCTCTACATCTCATTCAGGTCAAACAGAGTCTGGTCCAGCATCCTTTGTGTACAGAGGTGTTCCTCTTTGGTGCATTTCAGTTTATCTTCCAAATCATCGATTGTCTTTTCCAGCTTGGCTACCGATCTCTCAGCAAACTCAGCACGGTTCTCTGCCTCCTTGAGTTTATCAGTAAGAATCTTTATCTCTTCCTCATATTTGTCTTCTTTTTGAGAGTACTTTTCTTCAGCAGCACTCAGACACTTCAGGTTCTGGTCCATCAGTCTGATCTGCTCATCCATCTCTCGGCAACGGGACTCTGCCAGCTCAGCTCGTTCCTCTGTGCGTTCTAAGTCTCCCTCAATAATCACCAACTTACGAGCCACATCTTCATATTTTCTATCTGACTCTTCTGCAATGTGCTTAGCTTCTCTGAGTTGGATTTCCTGGAGTTCCATCTTCTCTTCATCTTTTAAAGCTCGGTTTTCAATAACCTTCATGCCTCTCTCGCTCTCATCGGCAGCTTTCTCAGCTTCCTCCAGCTTTTGCAGGGCAGTGGCCAGGCGCTCCTGAGCACTGTCCAGCTCCTCTTCAACCAGCTGGATCCTACGGTTCAAGGTTCAAGGAGGCCACCTCAGCCTCAGCCTGCTCCCGAGCCCGCCTGTCCCCCTCCCCCTCCCGCTGGAGGCGCTTGGCCCGCTCCTGGGCGTCGTCCCCATGCTGCTGCAGGACCTGGATCTTGCGCTTCACCATCTCGATGTTGGTGATCCCGGCCATGGTGCCCACCCAGCGCCTGCTCGCGTTCGCCTTCCTGCCTCCTCCGCTCCGCGCTGCAACCGCTTCTCCGATGTTTCTAACTCTCTCTCCCTCTCCTTTCCTCTCTGAAATCAATAAAAATATATTTAAAAAAAGAAAAAAATATTAAAAACCCCTGGAAAGCATTTATCTCTGCCTAAATCCTTTCGGTAACCTTCACTACCCAGCTTAGTGCTTGGCACACACTAATGGGCACACATCTACACATCTATCTATCTATCTATCTATCTATCATCTATCTATCTATCTATCATCTATCTATCTATCATCTATCTATCTGTCATCATCTATCAATTATCTGCCTATCTGTATATTTGTTTATGTAGACTTTCTCAAGTGACAAGAAAGTAGTATTTCTTTTTTAAAAAATATGTCCTATTGATTTTAGAGAGAAAGGAAGGGAGAAGTAGAGGTAGAGAGACATTGATGTGAGAGAGAATCATTGATTGGCTGCTTCCTGCTCAACCCCTACTGGGATTTGAGCCAGCAACCGAGGCATGTGCCCTGACAGGGAATTGAACCTGGTGACCTTTTGGTGCATAGGATGATACTCATCCAACTGAGTTATACTGTCCAGGACATGGAAGTAGTGTTTCAAATATTCCTTTTTAAATTGGTTTTTAGAAATCTGGTTATTATATTTCTAGGCTGGCTTTACCCATTGTCTGAAATCCTTCTGATTACAAAGAAAAGTAGCAAAAACAATACCATTACAAACAAAATGATGAAAGCATGGAAAATAAAATTAAATAAGGGAAATTTCACTTAATCTAGAGTAGTTGTATTTGATAAATTTACATTTAATATGTCAAATATGAAAAGCTGAAAGAGACTAAAATTTTTTTCATCCTTTTACTTTTAGAGTTTAGTGAAACCAGCTCTTTATTGTATCTAATTCAACTTAAAAGTTTATGGGTTTTCATTTGTTTTGTGTAATGTATTCTTATTTTTCTGTTCTCCTGCTCTGACAACTTTAATTTGTGTGACCTTAAACATCTTACTTAATGTCTCTATGCCTCTGTGTGTTTATTGAGAAAAATGAGGATAATAGTGACAATCCAGCGATACCATTGTAATTTAGCCTAGTTATGAATAACTGGAAAGGTGCAACGGGAAGACCAAATATTATTGGCAAGCCATTTGTGCTGCTTTGCCAGGAAGCTGCAGTTTAGATGCATGCCCAGTAAAGTCTGGATGACATAGGCAAGGTGCTATTCTGTCAGTCACATCTGAGCACAGGTCATTGGCCAGAGTAGGCATAGCCACTACAAGCACAGGAAGATTTGAAATGCTTACTCCCCTAAACCAGTGGTCAGCAAACTCATGAGTCAACAGAGCCAAATATCAGCAGTACATGACTGAAATTTCTTTTGAGAGCCAAATTTTTTAAACTTACTATATAGGTAGGTACATTGTTAATAACTTAATTAGGGTACTCCTAAGCTGGCCTTTGCTAAAAACGTCCTCAATCTGATTGAGGTACGTTTGCTGAGGTCGACCCCTTCTAACTCTCCCATCCACACTCGTCTTGTATACTTGTTTCAGATTGACATGTATACTTGTTTCAGATAGACGAGTGTGGATGGGAGAGTTGGAAGGGGTCGACCTCAGTGAACGTACCTCAAAACAGTTTACCTCCCCTGCGCCGGGTCTCCTGTAGCCTGACCAACCGACACCCCCCACTTCTTCTAACGCTACTTCTTCAAAATAGACTCTCCCAGGCCGAAAACCGACTTTTGCGCATGGGCCACGAAGTTTCAATAGCAATGTATGTGCATGCCTGCACGTGGTATTTTGTGGAAGAGCCACACTCAAGGGGCCAAAGAGCCGCATGTGGCTCACGAGCCGCGGTTTGCTGACCACTGCCCTAAACAAAGGAGTTTGCTCTCTTTCAGTTCACATTCTTATTCTCTTGGCTCCTGGCTTGCAGGGGCTCTCATGCTCCTGCATTCACTCACGTGGCCCATAGCTTTGTGGGCCCCCACACACAATGAACTAATGGACTACAACTAGCCTAATGCTAAACTGGATCCAGCTCCACCATGGAGCAGAAACTTTGGACAATGGCTTTGCGTTTAGTATTTCACTTCCACTAGCAACAGAAACAGGTCATCCGTGATTTCTTCAATTATACCAGTGGGTTATTGTGAGGATTAAGTGAGAGAATAGATAGAAAGCACTTAGATAGCATTTGACATATGTTAAGTGCTCCTTAAATGTTGGGTATTATTGCTGATGTTACTCATTGTCTCTTTTTGAATGCTCATATACTAAGTATCTCTTTAACCTACTAATCACATTCCATCCAGTTTTCTAGTGATTTATGTCGTATTCCATTTACCTTACAATATTTTAATATCCCTGCAGGCAGAGGGTATCTTCTATTACACAAAATGTGAGGCATGATATAGCATCAATAAGTATTTATTTCAATACTTTTTGTTGTCATTTCTAAGTAAAACAAATAATAGAGGAAGAAGAACAGATATAGTTTTCTTAGGGAATTGTGGAAATGTGGTGTGATGGTTAATTTTATGTGTCAACTTCCTTGGGCTGAGCAATGCCCAAAGAGCTGGCAAAACATTATTTTGGGGTGTGTCAGTGACAATGTTTCTTGAGGAGATTAGCATTTGAATCAGTAAACTGAGTAAAAAATATCCCAATGTAGGTGGACATTATCTACTCCATTGAGGGTCTGAATGGAACAAAAGGCAGAGGAAGGGTGAATTTGCTCTCTCTTCTTCAGCTGAGACACCATCTTCTCGTGCCTTCAGACATCTGCACTCCTGGTTCTTGATTTCTTGAACTCATACCAGGACTCTACATCCTAGGCCCTATGATTCTCAGGCCTTTACACGGGGACTGAATTACATCACTGGCTTACCCCTGCTTCTCCAGCTTACAGATGGCAGGCTGTGGAACTTCTCAGTTTTCATAACCATGTGATCTAATGCCTATAATAAATTTCTCTCTCTCTTTCTCTCCCCTCATCTCTATCTCTATCTCATCTCTATTTATCTCTATCTCCTCTCTCTCTCTTTCTCTCTCTCTCTCTCTCATCTCATCTCTATCTCTATTTCATCTCTCTCTATCTCTATCTCACCTCTATCTCTATTTCATCTCTCTCTATCTCTATCTCTCTATCTCTATTTCTATCTCTCTACATCTATATCTAATCTATCTATCCTACTGGTTCTGTTTCTCTGGAGAACCCTGGCTAATACATGAGGGAAGGTCTGCCTGGGGAAGAATTTACTGAGCTGTGGAAAATAAAAGGAAACGTGGGGTCAGAATAGCAGATGAGCTAATATTTAACTGTATTCACGGACAGTCAGAGGAGGTGTCTTCAGAAGAAAAGAGAGGTTTGCATGTACATACATGGGTGTAACTTTCAAAGTTATACTTATAACTATAACCTAAAATTCCAGGCATCTCCACCCTGTAAGTACAAGGGCTGTAACATGGATGCCAGCTATGCGCCCACAGGAATGTGGGCCCTTTCTAAAACCTCCTCTCAGTCTGCAGGGAGACTTGAGCTCCAGAATCCTCAGTAATGACTCAGTGTCATCCTCGTCCTTGCTACTGCTGCTTGCTCCCTGTGCGATCTTGCCCCATGGTCAGTCTCTGTCAGTGGTACCTGAGCATGGGGTCTGCAGTTTTTAGGTCTATGGGCTCAGAGAGGCAGACACTGGTCTCTTCTTAACTTCGTGTTGCACATATTCCTGGACCTCAGGCTCCACTTCATTTCCTTGTCTCTTTATTTTCACAGTTGTTTATTTAGACAATTCTTTCAGCTTCTTGTCCTAACATCCTTATAAAGGCTCTCAACCTGCCAGCTCTTCCTTTTCGTTGTCCTCATACCTATTCCCTTCAGAGTCCCTGCCCCCCAATTTTCTCTCTCTTCCGGGCAAAACCAAAACCCCGTGAGTATCACCACAGTTAAATGGATACTTGGAAAAGAGGTAGTACCTACTTCCTCCTGCCCAAGGCAGCCAGGCAACGGCTCCTGCTCACAAACCAAGATGCTCTGTTGCAAATATTATGCTCTAAACCGAATAGCACAGCAAGCATACTAACTTTTAAAGCAAGTGTAACAAAATGTTTTTCTCACACAGAATGTTGTTCACTTATTGCTTCCATTTCCCGTATTCTCCTGTAAGCTTAAAATGAAGATGAGAACAAATAAGGGTATCTACCTCTAAAGTACCTAGTACGAGGAGGTATATGGATTGGATTGAAAGAGATTGGCTATAAGCCAAACAGGCTTTCTATTTGTTTATTTGGAATATTTTTTTCTGAAAATACTCTAAATGTGACAAGGGACATGTTTCTATGAATCCACCACTAGCATATTCTTTAAAAACAGAAAAATAGATACAATAAACATTTTCCTCTGGAGTTCTGTTTGAAGTAATTCACTTATGCACTATAAGTTGGAGACTTATAATACTTTGTGGAAAAACTCAGAGAAAATACTCTTTTTCTTGCCAACCCCTCTTAATTAATAGGCTAAATTTTAATTCATTAGAGACAGATCTATCGGAAAGGATTTTCAATGAATTTTTTTTATTGTCTACTTAGCTTTAAAAAATATTGTATTATCAGATCTCATTCTGAGGTGAGGTGTCTCCTTGAACTATTTCAAAGGCCCTAGAATAATTGGAGCCCAACCTCAATATCATCCTATTATAGGTGGAGTAGACAAAATGGGGCTTATTTACCATCAAGCTCTGTAAACAGGTCATGGGCACTCCTTTGTCAATTGTGAGATAACCTTTTTTAGACCCAAGATACTTGGAGTCAATGATGAAAAGTTTAATTCTTTTTCATTTGAAGAACTGAGAGGTAGGCTTCCTCTATGGCATAGGAGTTCAGGGGACAGACAGAGGGATGTGGACCCATTTCAGGTAAAGCAAAAAATTATTGTTAAATCATGAAGACACGAAAGAGCATAGTCAGCATGGGTAGGGGGTTTTATTGTGGCTGGAATATAGTGTACTTGGAAGGAGTGTGAGGCCAGCTT